TGTTCCAGTCCCCGAGTTTAGCCCAGAGAGGGCTCCAGTCCCTGAGTTTAGCCCTGAGAAGGCTCATATCCCCGAGTCTAGCCCAGAGAGGGCTCCAGTCCCAGAGTTTAGCCCAGAGAGGGCTCCGGTCCCCGAGTCTAGCACAGAAAGGGCTCCAGTCCCCACGTCCAGCCCAAGGAGGGTTCCAGTCAAGCCCAGGGAGGGCCACTGTTCCCGAGTTAGGTCTACGGAGGGCCTCTAAAGATGATATTCTCCCCAAGGATTTTTTTTGGGGGTAGTATGGGTCTGTCCGTAGTGGCTGGGCTGAGTGGCGAGGCCAAGGACACGGAGGCCGTCCAGCCATGGCCTCCTGAGTTCCCTACTCCGCCATGGCCTCCTGAACTGTCTGATCCGCCATGTCCTCCTGAGTCCCCTGCTCCGCCATGGCCTCCTAGTCTGCCTGATCCGCCATGGTTCCCCGAGCTGCCTGCTCCGCCATGGCCCCCTGAGTTCCCTGCTCCGCCATGGGTCCCCGAGCTGCCTGCTCCACCCTGGAGGTATTCCCCGTGTCCCAGTCCTGCATCAGCCTCCAGGGCGCCCACCCCCCTCCCTGGTGGAATTGTTACGGCGCGGGATGCGCCTTCCGGGAGGGGGGAGTAATGTCAGACTCTGTTCCTTGTTTTGTGTGTTTTGCTCCCCATGTGCCTTCCTTGCCCTTATTTGCTCCTTCCTGTTTCTTGTTCCAATTATGTTTATTGATCCCAGGTGTTTCTCATCATCCCCTCGTCATGTCGTGTATTTAAAGTGTGTCCTATTCTGAGTTGGTAATCCGGTATTGAATGTCTGTGAACATCGATCCCCATGTCCTACGTGTGACTCCTGTGATTATATGTCAGTAAAGACTGTGATAATTCTGGAATCTCCTTCGTCTCCTCGCTCCTTCACAGTAGGCACACTGTGACAATAACCAGGGTCTGAGCCACTGTCCTTCACTCTCACGGGCTGAAGAGCCCCTATAGCAGACAGAGAGATGAGTCCATTCTAAAAGCATTCTGCCATCACTCTTCAGCTTTTGATCCATGCCGGGTTTCCCATTTATGATTTGTTTTTTTGTGTGATTTGTGTGATTCTGATTTGAGCCAATTCCTTATGTGGTACTATATCAGATGTTTTGCAGCGTGACCTCAGTCTGAACAGTCATATTGGAATTTATATGACTTTTACATGTATGTCACTCCAAAGATGTTACATGCTGGTAGTTATTGGTCACTGGTGAATATGGCAGACAGCTGCTATACAAGCAAAACTTGAGGGATCATTTTACAGATATTCAAATATTATTTCCTCATCAGTGTCTTTGTCCACCTGATTGCCTCCGCATGAATTTGCTGGCTTCTGCAGCACATCTTATAAATGAATGTGTATTGTGTAGACACTAACATCAGTGGCTCTCGACGGTGAGCTGTGTGCCATCTTTGTTATTATTCTTTGGTGCATGCAGGTCAGCCCAGGACTTCAATCTGATATTGGCCATATTTCAAAACACAATGTGAACAGCAATCATACATTAACACCATCACACTTTCTGCTTTTCGCAGTTAAATAATGTGTGAGTCTGAGGTATTGGTGTGCTAGCAAGCCAGGAAAAAATACAGAAAAATGTATTGGTGTTTATTCTCATTATGGTCTTTGTAAGAACAAGCTCTTTAATGTTTGCTAATGCTTGTGTCTCTCATCACTGCATTGCTCACACTGAACAGACAACAATGTTTTAGGAAATGCACTATAAATCTATCTATCAACGTAATCTTTTGCAATACAGACATTTATAAAAATGCACAAGTTACTGAGATAAACTAATCACACTGCTTGTTAAAGGTCTGTTGGGCTGGTCCAGATTAAAAACTAACAGTACAGTAAATAAACTGTACATGAGAGCTGACTTTGCCAATTTCTGCAGTTTGGAGTTTACACTAAGAATAATCTGTCTATTTTTAAGATTTACACATTCTGCAAATGGTATCATGTTTCTGTAGGATAAAGTGTAAACTGTGTAGGAATGTGCATTTTGCTTTTAACATTTTATTTGTAAAGGGAAATTACAAACTAGTGCTTGTGTTTGTGTGTAAAAGTTGTTGGTGTTTTACTGCCACTATAATAATCTGCAGTAAAGTACAGTACAGTAGGTATGTGTCAGGATCTGTAAATGAGGTGCTTTATTGAACATCAAGGTCAAATGTAGGGTGGGCTCGACAGAAAGGACAGATGGGAGGTCAGTCAGGCAGGGGTTGAAACCAAAAAATCAGAGAAAGTGTGAGAGGATGAGATGAGAGCGAAGTCAAGGACAGACAGGGTTCATGAGCAGTAATCAGTCCAGCAGGGCAGTATCATCAGAAGGTGCTCACAGCTGATGGTAAGTGAAAAGCACACGTTCAGAGGGGACAAGGATGCTGGAACCCTCCACTGATCTGGGCAGAAAACCAGCATGAGATCAGGACAAATAAACAACCATTACTAGAGTGATTGACAGGCAACAGTAGAAGCTGAGAGCACACAGATACGCAATTAGATGAGAAACAGGTGAAAAGCCAATGAGCAAAAATATAGGCAAAAACACATTTTCCAATGGGCCCATGTTGCAATAATGACACACCGATTGTCTGTGTGACAGACATAATATTAATATACAGTTTTGCATCATGATTTGTAAAAGTATGATATTTAACGTAAAAAAAAAAAAAAAAAAAAAACCACATTAAAAAAGCTTTATCCTTCATGTTCAAGTTAAAAAAAAAAAAAAAAAAATCCCCATTGAAGAAGCTTGATCCTGCATGTTTAAGTTAAAAAAAAAAAAAAAAAAAAAAGAATCCAGGGCTTATTCTTGTTTTCTGGTTTCTTGTAGCTGCACACGACTGGAAGATGAAGCTCGCTGGATTTATGCTTCTCCTCATCAATTCAGCGGCCTCCATCAATCTCAAATACATCTCCAAGAGGAACTCAGGTATGACCGTCATTTGACTGCACCTACAGCGTCGTTTCAGAGCGGGAGCATGCGTTGGAGAGTTTGGTGTAAGCTTTCAGTGTTGTATATTTTGGAGGTCAAGCCTCTCCTGCTGTTGGCTTCAGACTCATGATGGGAATGTGGAGTAAACGCAGTGTTTTCATCACTGGTGAATAAAGCCACTTGCGTTCTGTTTGAACTGTTTACAGAAAAGTAATGGAGTGGCTTTTGATTAAATTTCTCTGTGAACTGTTGTGTTTGTTTCAGTGAAGAACCCGGGCTCTCCACACGATCACATAAGCAGCAGTGTGTGTGTGTGTGTGTGTGTGTGTGTGTGTGTTTGTGTGGGTGCCATGTGCGCTCAGCAATTATGTTATCAGCACCAAACGGGCATTTATGTGGGCGGTAAAAACACTGAGGCAATCTCGACTGTCAGTTTCTCACCCAGCCACAGATCTCAGAGTTTGGCATGTACGCTTTACTGTGCCACCAAATAAGCAGAAATGTTTCCTGCATTTTAATATGCATGATTAACATGTGAGACACCAGTTTATAGCAGAGTGTGTGTGTGTGTGTGTGTGTAAAGCTGCTGTGTTAAACGTTAAGTAGTAGAGCTTTATTGTGCTAGCATGATATTAGCAGCACTGGATTGTATGTTTAAGGATGAATTTCAGGATAAATGCATGTGCTTTGAAACTTTGCGTAACAGCACAGGGATGAGCTCTGATTATGATTATGATTCTGAGGTATAGTATTATGTACTGTAAGCATGAGTTGCATTTGCCAAAGGAAGTCTAATGAATGCTAAAAAGAACATGTAAATCACACATGAGGGATTTAATCATCGTAAGTTTTATCAGATTAGGGTAAGATTGTGAGTTAAAATGTGGCGTCCAGTGTTCATCATTGAATTCCAGACAACGCTCACACCCTTTTAATTTTTTTTGCATTACTTTTATTGACACTATATTTTCTTTTGCCCCTGAAATATTATTTAGCTGTATTTTTGTATTAGTATTTTTGCAGCAAACAGCACCTGTAACGAAACATTAAAACACATTTGTGTTTTGGTGGTTTAATGGAAGGAATAATCCACAAACTGTATACGCGTCGCCACAAGAAATTCTGGAGAAAAAAGCTAGTGTTTCTCTGAAGATATATTTTCTTTGTAGATGGTATGTCTTGAATTTGCATCTCTCACATCAACTTAATTCATCTGTTATGTTCTTCCTTTCACTTGCATCTGGTGCTTGGAGAGGTTTTATTTTGAACTATATTTCTGTCTTTCTAGCCAGAGATAAGGTTTAATCAAAGCTTCCTTCAACATTTTTGGCTGAAACAAGTATTAATATTGATTTTAGAGAATCCGTCAGGTTGATGGGTTCATGTCAGATGCTAATGTTTCCATATTACACTGATAGCTTTGATGGAAATCAGTTTGTCTCAAAGATGTTCTTGCAAAATCTCAAAAACTACAGCTTAGGATCCACGACGCACAAAAGGGTCAGATTTACTAAACAAAAGTGCTGCTGATCTACTGATAATGAACAAATTAAAGAACACAGATGCAAGTCATTTCCATTAATGACCAATGCTAAGAGCAGTGCAAATTAGTGATGCAAACAAGCAGAGCTAGCAACACAGATGCAGAATGGGCACAGACATGCTTTTTAGGGTGTTAGATAATGGTGCAAATACCAGTAAACTGATCACAGCAAACCCTGGTAAATCATGTTGTGTGATTGATTCAAATCCTCTCCTCCCATAAATGTTGTCTGAAAGGGAAACTCCTACAAATGCACATGCAATAAGATCAAAATAACATGTCCATGCCTTTTGAATGCTAATTTTTCAACGTGCATATTTGGTAAAACCTGACAGTAGTTTTTTTATGCCAAAAGATGGTTTTTGCACTGTTGCAAGCTGTTAGCAAATGTTTGTGTATAAATTTCCTGTCATTGCCCGCGATCATCATGCACCACTGTCTACACCATTCAATGATTAGCTTATATATGTTAACAACATTTCATACACACTGTATGCAACATTAAATATATATGTATATTATTACTTGCATTGTTTTGATTTGGCAGACATATTGTACATGGACATTCACAAAAAGGTTGCATTTGGTCAAGTACACAACAAATCAAATGAGATGTGCTGATCTTTCTCATATATGAGAACTACATAAACTGTCTGTTCTTTGGAGGAAAACAGTATTTCTGCAACTCTGAGACATACAGTATTACATGCAGACAACAAAGCCATGGGCAGTTTTTCTCATACACACATCTCATGTATTTATCAGCCATTCTCATCCAACACATTACTTCAACTTCAACTTCATTTATTTATATAGCACATTTAAATGCAACTTTGTTGCCCAAAGTGCTTCACAAGTTAAGGATAAAATAAAATACACACAAACATTTATAAAAAGTTCCCAATTCAAACTTTCTCTACTTCAAAGGCCAGACTAAAAAAATGTGTCTTCAACTGGGACCTAAAAACCTCTATAGACGGAGCCTGCCGAATATACAGCGGAAGACCGTTCCATAATTGTGTACCTACTACTGAAAAGGCGCGGTCACCTTTTGACTTCTTTTTGGACCGAGGGACAGTCAGCAACAACTGATTTACTGATCTAAGTGACCTAGCCGGTGTGTGAGATCATTTGGGGACAAGTTGTGTAAAGCTTTAAAAACCAATAATAAAATCTTAAAATCAATCCTATACCTGACTAGTAGCCAGTGGAGAGACGATAGCACCGGAGTGATGTGTTCCCAGAAGCCTAGCTGCGGCATTCTGCATGAGCTGCAATCGAGATATTTGCCGTTGACAGATCCCTACATAAAGTGAGTTACAGTAATCCAGTCGCGAAGTGATAAAAGCATGAATAACAATCTCCAAATCTTTAAAACTCAGAAAAGGGTTTAGCTTAGAAATAATTCTAAGCTGATAAAAACTGCTTCTTACAACCGAATTAATCTGTTTATCAAAACTGAGAGATTAATCAATTATGACGCCAAGGTTTCTCACACTGTCTTTCACTGTCATTTCTAAGGGGGCAAGAGTGTTGGCTATTTTTTTTTTTTTTTTTTTTTTTTAATTAAGCTGAAGAAAATTATTTGAGAGCCAACAGGGACTGTAAAGACTGCTCATTTCCGACCTTAAGCGGAAGATAAATCTGTGTGTCATCTGCATACATGTGATGAGAAATGTTGTGGAGATGGCAAATAGACCCCAGCGGGCACACATATATAAAGAAAACAACATAGGGCTCAAAATAGAGCCCTGAGGAAGGCCATATTTTAAGGGAACCACAGAGGATGAAACATTTGCCAAATTAACAAAAAATGTTCTATCTGTAAGATATGAATGAAATCATTTCAAGGCAGTTCCCCCAAACCCCACCTCACACTCCAACTGTTTTAAAAGAATCAAATAGTCTACAGTGTCAAATGCGGCACTGAGATCTAACATAATTAAAACTGCAGCCATCCCAGAATCAACTGCTAATAATAAATAAGTTAACACTTTTAGCAGAGCGGTCTCAGTACAATGACCAGCTCTGAAACCAGATTGGAATAGGTCCAATTCGAGTGTAATTTGGGGTAATGGGGTCATTTGGGTAAAATGGGGTAATTTGAGTCAGAACTACCTTCTCTACAACTTTAGATAAAAATGGAAGTTTAGAAATGGGACGGATTACAATCACAACTGTATTAGACTGAAAAAAAAAAATAAAACAAATGATCAGATTTTATTATGTGATCTCAGATGTCCTTGTCTAATGCTCCTGTTGCTGCTCTTTTGTGAAAACACTTCGTTTTGATGGTTCCCCAGCAGGTTTCTCAGAATTGTGAATGAAAGCATGCAGTGGCTGATCAGGAGAATTCCGGACTATAACTGTTAACTATAACTCGCTGCTCAACATTCAAATACTCGGCTAGTGTTTGCTGTAACAGGTGCAGCATGCTTCAGAAACCCTCCACCTCCCCCAGCTCCACCTGTCTAGATCTGTAATGGGGTGATATCATGTATGTTAAATATGGGATTATTTCATATATGTCACATGTGTAGCAGCAGTATTTCATATATGCTCACAGCAGCAGCAGATCTATTGCGTGAAGACCAAACACATTAACATTATCATATATATTTCCATAAATTGCAACAGAGGAAAACAGCATGTGAAAAAAAAACTTGAGCCATATATAGCCTACTAAATTTGCTAGCTGTGCCAAGGTCTGTACTGTAAGTCTCTTTTAAATATTACATAATTTGACCTTTTTATGTCAAGGCAAAGTTCAGCTTGTGAAATGTCATGTAGTGTTACAGTCACCCTAGAAACAAGAGGAAAGCTGCAACAATATTATTATATGATTCTGTGATATTTATCTGCAATCCCAATTACCTTTTTTGTGGACTAATTAGATGATTTATGAATTTAAAAAAAATGTATGCATTTTTTTTACTTGGCACTTGTGTTTTAAACTAGTTTTTAGAAATATAGGCCTATTTTCTTTATCATGGACACTTATTAGTCATTCATGTGTTTAGATGATATGTAGATATGAGAAATTGTACACATATTGGTGGGCATAATAATGTCACATGCAGTGTTTGAGAACATGCAAATTTTGTCTGTTGAAGTCTGTTTTAACACTTACTTTAGAATGTGTGGTCTTGTCCTTTGCATATACTAAACATATAAATTATTAAATAAATGATAAATTCAACATTAAATCGATAAAGTCGAATTGTCTTCTCTCCAGTGATCCCAATGCCGGGTGATATATCCAGAAGAAAAGCCCTCTATGAAGAACTGGGTGATATTTCCTGATCGATGTTAGCTCTGAAGCTTTTTATTTCCCCCCTAAAATGTTCAAGGTAGTTTTCTACGTAATTAAATATTATTTAATTATATTTAGCTTTGCTTCAGGGACATTCACCAATCAAGCGATGCTCTTTGATCCACCGAGCGATAATGATGA